GAGTACATCTTGGTCTATATACCTTCATGTTTACTCCATATCCACTTGGAGTACATCTTGGTCTATATACCTTCATGTTTACTCCATATCCACTTGGAGTACATATTGGTCTATATGCCTTCATGTTTACTCCATATCCACTTGGAGTACATATTGGTCTATATACCTTTCTGTTTACTCCATATCCACTTGGAGTACATCTTGGTCTACATACCTTCATGTTTACTCCATATCCACTTGGAGTACATCCTGGTCTATATACTTTCATGTTTACTCCATATCCACTTGGAGTACATCTTGGTCTATATACATTCATGTTCACTCCATATCCACTTGGAGTACATCTTGGTCTATATACATTCATGTTTACTCCATATCCACTTGGAGTACATCTTGGTCTATATACCTTCATGTTTACTCCATATCCACTTGGAGTACATCTTGGTCTATATACCTTCATGTTTACTCCATATCCACTTGGCCTCTGTATTCCTTCAGGTGTCTTCATCACTTGTTAATCACTATCATAGAATTGCGTTATTTATTGCCTTGAAACTGATGCTTGAGACTGGTATGTGAAGCAGGACGCTGCCTCATACGTGTAGCTAAATGTACCATGATATGTGTGTAGCAATACGTTGTTTGATGTGTTTAGCAGTACATGACTAGTTGTGTTTACTAGTACGTTATTTGATGTGTTTATCAGTATGTGACTGTATGTGTGTAACAACACGTGGCTTGATGGGTTTGTAGCAAGACATTGCATTATGTGTGTGTAGTACTACGTTACTTGATGTGTAACAGATGTGTTGCTTGTAGCAGTACGTAAATTGATGTTTGTAGCAGTACGTTGTTTGACGTGTTTAGCAGAACGTAGCTTGAGGTGTAGCAGTACGTAACTTGGTGTTTGTAGCAGTACGTTGTTTGATGTGTTTAGCAGTACGTAGCTTGATGTGTATAGCAGTACGTAGCTTGATGCGTGTAGTAGTACGTAACTTGATGCGTGTAGTAGTACGTAACTTGGTGTTTCTAGCAGTACTTTCTTTGATGTGTGTAGCAGTACGTAGCTTGATGCGTGTAGTAGTACGTAACTTGATGTGTGTAGCAGTACCTAACTTGATGTGTGTAGCAGTACCTAACTTGATGTGTGTAGCAGTACCTAACTTGATGTGTGTAGCAGTACCTAACTTGATGTGTGTAACAGTACCTAACTTGATGTGTGTAACAGTATGTACCATGTCTGAAAGTAAATGAAGAAATTCAATTTTTATTTATCTTTGAAAGAACAAATATGTGATATATATAGATGACTGAAATCATCTACAAATCTACCTGAAGAAAGAGAAACCTCGTTCAGTAG